ATTATTATATATATCTCATTTACTTGTATAAATAATAAAATGAAGAAAAGAATTACTAATAAATGCTTGTAATTAGAAAACATTCACAAATTTTTAAGTTTTCACAATTTGTCCTTTATCTATCCTCTAGTTTTATTCTTTATACTGGTATAAATTATACTTTTAAGATTTATAATGTCAGAATTAGATTTTAGCAATTTTAGATGTCTATGCAGAAAAAACTTATAAAAGAAGATAGATTTCATTTATTATCTTGGTTCTTGTGATATGAAGAGACAAATTATGAAGATTTATACAGGATGATTCAAAAGTTATTAGAGAAATCTTAAAGGAAGGTCAGGAATACAAAAACAAACCATTTTTACCTAAGAACATATAGCCACAAATGCCACCAGAAGTTGCTAGAAGTACAGGAAGAATCACACGGAAAGGAATACATGTAAGTTATACATATTTATTAGAACACTCAGGTATTGTTTGTGGCTATATGTTATTAGGTAAAAATCATTTGTTTTTGTATTCCTGACCTACTTTAAACTTTGTCAAAACTTTTTGAATCACTCTGTACAATGTAATTAGAAGATATATATACAATATTTATTTATTATTTTTCTTTTTCCCACAGGTATTCTCTGAGTGTTTAAAAATTTCAAATTTTCCTTTGGAGATAATTCATTTTTGTAATGAAATTATTTCTGAGGTAATTAATAATTGGCTATTTAAAATTAAATTTGAATTAAACTGGAATTTTTCTGGTACAAAATCTAAAGAGATAGGGTAAGTTTCTAATATATAATTTATCTGTAATTTAGAATTTTGAATGAATTTGATAATATTTTTTATTTATTGAAGACTAAAAGTTGTTTATGTAATCAGAATTTTCAATTATATTACATCTAATTTTAATTTTTATCAAAAATTTTAATAACAATCTTGCAGTGTTAAATTTTCACAGATAGATTTCATAACATCTTTGTTTTTGTTTTAAATATAAAACAAGTATTAAATATAAATATAATGTTTATTGGGTTTTATAATAATAATTTTATTTGGATTTTGATGACATACATATTTTAATGTATATATCATCAAAATTATTAAAATCATTTTTTATAAATAAAATTTTAATGTTTATAATAACTAATTTCTATAAATAGATCAAATTGTTTGTTAAATGATTAAAGTGTGTTTTTACACGTTAAATTTTTCATCATAAAAACACATGAACTTATTTCGATATCTGAACAAATTTATTATATAATCCAAATTTAACTTGATAAATATTTATCTTCCTTTCTTATAATTAGATCTTACAATAAATTATTATTAAAATTATTTTAATTTGATGAATATTACAAATTTTTATAAACAATACGTATGAAATATATATTGTACAGTAGAGTCTAAATTAACCAAGATCCATTAACTAAGATTCCACATTATCCAAGATGATTTGTGGAAGAGTATTTTGTCAATAAAAACAAGAGAACACTGTATGGTATAGTTTGTTTCACAATTCTTAACCAGATAATGCATGGTATTCATAAAGGACTCAAGAAGTTTTAAAATCAAATTTACTGTAGTGATTTCTCATGACAATATGACTTTTTAAAAAGTTTTGAGTATGACCAACTGCTTTAATAAATACAGTTAACTGTATAACTTATATTTTATTTATGCCATCTTTAAAGTCACTACGTTTATTTTTAGATTAGCTAATCGCTAATCTAAAAATAAGCTCTGCTAATTGAAGTATATTTTACATATAAATGCATCAAAATCTAGTTTGTTTAAAATTTAAGAAACATTGTGTTATCTGAGATACAACTGATGACCACATTACCTTGAATAATTGTGACTTTACTGTATATATTTATTGTCATAACATTTTAATTAAATTTTTAATATTTATGCTTTTTCTAATTGACTTTTTTAAATAGAAATATTCAAGATCAGAATATTGGTATTATTTATATTTGCAATGTAGTTTTGAAAGCTATAAATATAGTCATTAAATCAAATGGTAAGTAAATATTTTTTATAAAATAACATTTCAATTGTATGATTATTATAGGTATAATTAATTCATAATCATTGAAGGTAGAGTATAATAATCTTATTCATATTTAAAAATATAAATGTTTACAATTCTACTTTTTTACTACTATTTTAATCAGTTTATTCTTAATACAGATATCAGTTGTAGGTATAACTGAAATATGAAAAATTTCTTTATTAATTTGCAATAAAAAATGCAATTCCTTTCTCCTCACTCATAGTTTTATATTTTTTGTTATTAGTTTTTAGTATTTTGGAATTAATAATTACAAAATGTATTCATAGGTATAATTTTAATTTTAAAGGATTTATTGAATTTTCCATATCAATATAAAATTTTCTTCATTACATACCATTAATCTTTAAAGAATCAAATTTAGTAATGACAGAAAGGTACTTCCATTTAATAAAGAAGTGGAGTGCCAAATTTAATTTATTATTTATTCAACACTGTTTGAATGCAAAAGCATTGCTGAAATATATTTTCTTTATCTTTCCAGATGACTTGTCAAACATAAACCAAAATGAAATTTATTGAAAAATGGTTAAAACCTTTTATTCCTGTGTTTAAATTACCTTTGTGATGATTGTTTTTATATATTTCATATATCAATCAATCAGTCTTTATTATTTGATATAACAGGTGTTATTACAAAGGGGGTTAATATTATTACTTTAAATTTGATAGATGAACAAAAATTTATATAATTTAAATAATGTTTACATGACAAAACTGTCACTGAATAAAATTTGGTAACAAAAATCAGATGGTAGTGTAGCAATTTGGATATCCAAAATAATATTATAAGAACCAAGAAGTTTTTCTCATATCCATCACTGTCATTCCACAAAAAGAGCACTCAGTGTAACACAAGTCATAATATTGTTTACAGTATTTTTTAATAAGTTTTCTAATGTCAGGACTGATTTAGTGTTATTTTTCCCCAGTTCTTTTTTTAGATAAAGTTGAATTCGTCATTTTTAACTTGATGAAGGGAGTGAAAACACTTCAAATAGTTCATCCAGATGCAATGTTTTATGCTCTGAAGCCAAATGATCTCCTAGGCATCATTTACTATTGCTGTCAGATTTTCTAAAATGCTGAATTGTTTTGTTATCCCATTTATGTGGCAAATATTCAATTCTTCACAGCATGGGCTGACTATTATCTTTGAAGTTAGAAGTGTTTTTAGATTTTTATGTATTCCTTCAAGTTTACTGAATGAGAAATAAAAAACTGATTGTGTATGTTAGTGTGTGGGGAAAAAATACACCTTTTAGACTTCTTTTGAATTGTTTATATGTAAAACACAATATTAAAAATCTCTATATTAAATAACATTTTATTTTTAAATTCAAAATTATTTAAAAAATAAAAGTCTTATTGACAAAAATACTTTCAGATTACATAATTTTAAGTCTATTGCATTAGATAATATATTTTAAAGCTTTATTGAAATTGAATAATGCGACATTCGAAAAAAATTATTATTAATAAAATTCATTATTTTCAAAACAGAAAAATTTTATACTGAAGAAATTTTAGGTGCACATGATATGTTAGACAGATGGTTAAGTTTTCATAAAAAAAATAGAAGCAAGTATCCAAATCAAATCTGGCTCATTGAAGTATTCTTTGATCAGGACGATCAGTTATTGGAAATGATGATTTGTTATCTTAATTTATATAATTACCTTAAAAGTGCCGAAAAGTAAGTTACATCATTTATAACTTATTAACTATAGATATTTTATAATATCAGTATTATTATTATTATTTAGATTGATTATTCATATANGGAAACAAAAATCCATAATAATTGGAAATTAAATATACATAAATATTAATAAAACAATATAGGAGAAATTTTAAATAATTGATTAGGAATGTCTGATTAATTAATAGAGAGGTTGCAGCCGACATTTTCATCACAAAAATGTGTACGTCATATGTTCAGCACCACCTTCCTGTAAGCCTAGAAATTTGACAATGGCATTTGGAACGTCAAGCATAATTCCACTGAAATTCCAAATGCCAGTGTCAAACTTCTAGGCTTACAAGAAGGTGGTGCTGAACATATGACGTACACGTTTCCACGATGAAAACGTCAGCCACAACCTCTCTAATATTGATATGAAATAATCTATAAAGATTAATAACATTAATTTTATAGTAAAAAGTATATTTTGAAATGTAACTAATCAAAAGAATATAGAAGAATATTCTTTCTTATAAAGTCAAAATTAGAAATATCTTAGATATAATCTCATTATGAGTTAAATAATTATATACACTTCTCAAAAGTGAAATCACAACACTGTGAAGGAATGCACATAGCCACATGCACACTGCAGGACCAGTAGAGGTGACAGACATATGCAAATGATTAAAAGAACAAAGATATGCAACAGACACCTATTTATTTATTCAGTAACTAATATAGCCCCTACAAGTAGCTGTAAAGCGAGGCATATTATCAATCAAACAATTAATGATTGCCTGCCTTGCTAAGCTGTGTTCACTCCGGTGCACATGTCATCTACAGTATGTGGCTGTGGTCCCTAGTGCACCTCACATCAGATCAGGTCCCACAGATGTTTGATGGGAGAGAGATTTGGCAAGGCTGCCAGCCAGGGGAAGGATGTAAATTCACCATGTGACATGCAGTTGGACATTATCTTGCTGGAACTCTGTATTGGGTGCACTAGTAGCTGAATCACAGGCCCCACAATTTGTGTGATGTACTGATCTGCTGTCAGAATACCTAAAATATGCACCAGGGCTGTCCACTGATAAAACACGATGGCCAGTGTGATGCTCCACAAAAAGAACTGGCACATAGAATTCTTTGGGTTACTGCCAAGCTCATCCAGGCTGTCATTCCTCCAAAGACAGAAGCAGGATTCATCTGTAAACAATACCCAATGCCATTCAGTGATCCAGTTGCAATGACAATGACAAATGGGTCCCAACAGACCATTTGGCAAATTTGCCAGTCTATGTGCTCTGCCAAGCACTGGTGTGATCCACTCCCTCTTTGGTGTGTTCCTGCATCCATCGTGTCACATATCACTGGATAGTACTCATGTTGTGCCAATCATACATGGCAACTGTATGCGTCAACAAACCAAGGTTATGCAGCTCTAGAATACAGTCTCATTTCCACAATGCATATGCAAACTTAATCACTTACATATCTTTATCACATCTACCAGTCCTGCAATTTGCATGTCTATTGCACATTCCTTCATTGAATCATAATTTCACTTTTGAGGAGTGTATATTATTCTAAGTAAAAGATTTTTACACTTGTATTATATATGAATGAAGAAATGTGAGATTTTTATCTTACATATTCAAAATTAAAAAGATTTTTTTTTTTAATTTTATTTACTTTGTCTAATGAAAAGTAACAAAATTCTATCTACAGTCTGTTTTCAGTGAAATAAAAAATTTGAAGTACTACATTCTCAATATTACAACAAACATTTAATCTGTAAAATTTAAATTAAAGTTAATAGTACTAAAAGTTAAATTAAATAATAGATTTTGTCAACATAAAACATATCTTTACTTTTGATTTTTAAAAAAAAATTAAACTAAATATACAGGGTGTCCTGTAAGTCTGGACCTATACAAGTTTCTCATATTATCATTTCTTTCATTACAGGGAAACCATGTCACTAAATACAGAAGAACAAATTCAAGTGATTTTGATGATGGTGACCTACAATCACAGAGAAGTGGCCACAGAAGTCCCTTTGTTGCATGTCAAGTGAGATTGCAATCTCCAAGACCACATCCACTGCATTTTGTAACAATTTCCTTAAATTTTGCATAGCTTAATAACACATCTGTACATGATTGGCCTGCAGTCTGAATGGAACCTATTGAATTCTCTGGCCACTTCTCAGTGACTGCAGATTCCCAACATCAAAATCACTTGAATTTGTTCTCTATACTGAAAGAAATGGTAATATGAGAAACACCTATGAGTCCAGACTTAAGGGACACTCTGTATATTAGTAAAATGCACATATTAAATTCAATTTGCTTTTATGAGATAAGAATTTTTTTTTTAATTTAATAAAAAGCTCAAGTTTTTGTTTTGAGAAAAGCAATTTGAGTTGGATTTACATTTGAGAAGTTTCCTTCAGAACTTTTAATTATATAAAAATATTAGTTTCAAAGTATTTTGTAAAATTATATGTAATAATTAATAATACATTTAAATTTACTGTATTATATTATTCAGCTTTGACTTATGTAAAATGCATATTGTATGTGTGATAATTTCTATTGATTATTTTATTATTTAGGATTTAAGAAGACTATTTCATCAAATGAATTAAATATTCTTCTTTTAAGTGTAAATACTCTTCATTTAATGTTTATAAAGCTAGACAGAAGAATGAAAGATGAATTTTTATATAGAGAATTATTAAATGAAGATATTACTACAAAATTGGTATGATTACTCAAATTTACACTTTAAATCAATTTTTTATTTCAGTTTTAATGACTTTTTATATTTGTTTCATTTCAGATAAATATAATGATTACACATCCTAACAAACATGTCATATATAGTATCAAACAGTTATTAATAGATATTCTCTTTCAATTTTCCTCTGAAAAATCAAAATATCTTAAGGACTTCATATTTAAACAACTAAAAGAACATATTTTCTGTATGAAAGCTAATAATTATAGTTTGTTAGAAATTGTGAGAGATATTTGTTCTTATAAATCAAATATCAGTTTGAATTTTAAAAGTGAAGATTATGAAATTTCTGATGAAAGGATAAATGGTATAATTATAACTTCTTTGTAATGTATGACTTATACTAAGTTAATACTTTATAATAATTATGTACAATATAGGATTGCTAACTTTCTTGTACAAAAAGGAGGACATTTACAACAAAGTAATTATAAATATTTGTTGACTAACTATAAATTATAATATATTAAATAGACAGTAAATAGGGTTTTAAACTCATTGTCAGAATTATTACCAGCTGTTGAACAATGCAACCCTAATTGACTTCCTAAATTCTATTTGCTTAACCAAATCAGATTAATAGTAGTGTCTCCCCCTGTTACTCTAGCAAGTGATGAAGATGAAACTATTACTTTAGAATAAGAAAATAAAATACTGAAACACTGTTTGCAAGCAATATTTCAGAGATGGTAAAGTAAAATTAAACAAAAACAATAAAAGCTGTACTAAAAGAAAGACATTATTATAAAAGGAGGATGGGAGGAGAATATACTTCAATGGAGAACTGTTCTCCAAAATGGAAGATGGTTGGCAATCCTAATACAGTATATTATTGCATCTATCAATACTATTCAGTTTTGAAAAATAGATAAAAAAAAATTTAAAAAGTATGTTAATTACTTTTTTCTAAATATAACACTTTTAAATACACTCCTAAATAGATACATACAGATAGAAGTGATAAGAAGTGAACAATTTATCATAGTTATATACTTAATTTTTATATAATTTATCTGGTTTTGATACTTTAACTAATCAAATTCTTGATAAGTAGATAGCATGTATAAAAATATTGGTCTGAATATTTGCATATGGATTATTTGGATATTAATATATCAAAATGTTTCTAATAATAAAATAAATGTCATATTTTATACTTAAGACAAATGAATTTTCATTTCTTTGATAAATTTAAAATCTTTATTTTCATATTATCAAAAACTTGATAAATAAACTGATTAATTTTTCATACATAAAAAAAAACAGAAAAATAATCGTAATAAAGAATTATTTTATAATATCTTTTACATTTATAACATGGTAATTTAGGATATGTCTGAAAAGGCAGATTTATATATATTTTTTTCCATAAAGAAAACTGTGATTGATTAGCAACTGAACCCAGTTTTTTTATTATACAATTTTAATGTAATGTTATTATGAGTAATTTATATTCATTCAGTTATATTTTATTGAATTCTGAAAACACTAACAGTCAATCATATCATTTTTGAAGATAATTAAATCTAAAATACAATTTGTTCAGATTAAAAGCTAAATATTAATATTTAACTTTTAATTTGAATAAATATTTAATTTAATATATAAATTACAATTATAATTATTAAAATAACTCAAAACAAAAAATCAAAGAAAACTGTAATTTTATTATTGATTTAAAATGAATATTTTACTTAAACATTTTTATAAAGTTAGAAATCAAATATTATATGATAGAGGATATTTATTTCATTTCATTTTTGTAATTTAAATTGCAACTACAGTATATTGCTAATATTTTAATTTATAATTTTTCAATAAAAAGTAAATATATTATTGATTTAATGAATTTAAATTTTTTTAGAAATACAGCAAGATATTTTTTATGAATTATTAGAAATATGGAGCGATCTAGTTATGTGTTTAATTAATAAAAATGAAGAAGAAGAGATACAAGATATTATTTTAGATATATGGCATTTTATTTTAACTATGGCTATAAAAATTCATCCTGTTAACAAAGAATTTTTAACACTTAAACAAAGACATGACTTATTGGAATTTTCTTATAATTGTTCTACCAGTATATGCTTTAAGTTTATAAATGTAATAAATCAGGTAAGTGATACAAAAAGTAATGTTCCATTAAAATCATCACTTTTATTGTAATAATAGCTTTATTTTAATAACAATTAATAAGCTTTCTTGATTTTAAATATGCAAACATTATTAATTTTTTAAGTTTTTTGAATTTTTTATTTTATATTTGATGTAACTTTTAATTTTATTCTAATAATAATAATCTAAATTGAGTTTGTAAGCTGTCGATTAACAAAAACCAAAGTTATTGAAAGTATACAATAATTTCTTATCCTTCTGTTAATGCGTATGGCTTTTTTTAAATGCATTAAAATTAGGCATAATTAACTTGATCTATGTCATTTTGTGCAATTGTTGAAATATTTTATCTTCTGTGTGTTTTATTTAGTAAAAGTCCAACATAATGTGAATGTACATAAATTTCCATCCTTACTCTTGCAATTACAGTACAGTGGTACCTCAGTATACAAAATTAATCCGTTCCGAAACTGAGATCGTATCATGAAAATTTCGTAAGGTGGATCATCTTTTCCCATATGATTACATGTAAAACCAAATAATTCGTTCCAACGCGAAAAACATACTCAAATTAAAGCCAAGTAATACATTTAAAAAAAATAACTGTAGTAAGAAAAACAAATGAAAAATGCGAACTAATGTAACGTCGTATGGTGAGTTTTTGTTCGTATCGTGGAGCAAAAATATGTTCGAATTTCATGTCGTATCCTGAAAATTTCGTATGCTGGGGC